GTGCATGGGGAAGAGGAGGAGTAGAGTGCAAGTTACTGGCCAGATAATAAGAAGCATGTTAGCTCGCATTAAAATCAAAGTCCAGTATGCCTCAGCACTGTGTCCGTCAGTGACACCGCAGAAGAGGAGGTGAGAATTCGGCCAGCAGCAACCTGCTCTGACATCGGAGAGCGCGCAGACTCTCAGGGCCTTACCTAGCTTCTTGTTCGCAGGTGAAACCGGAACATCTTCCAGCCACGTTACAGAGAGGGATGCAGGAGTTGAATTGCTCGCTGTTGATCTGGACAGAGACCTGCTAGTGCTCCTCTGCTCAGGCCGCTGTCTAAGAGATGAAGGGCTCTGGGAAGGATGCATGATGAGCGATTTTGTGTCAAAGTCTGCTATTCCATTCTCTAGTTCAGGCACTGCTGTAGAAAAGCACACTCGTTTAAAGGGGAACGTGAGGAGGACAGCAGAACACTGACCGTCTCTTTACCACAACAAGCAAAAAATATCAGGAAATCAAGGTGAGCTGCTCTTTCCTGAAGAGCCATCCAAACAAATCAATATTCAAAGCTGTCCCAAAACAAAGAAGGAACACACAAAAGAGCAGGAGGCAGCTCCTCTGCTTTTTAAACACTTGGTGCCCGTCTCCTGCGCTACTTTATAGAGACTAACCTGTTCTATCAGGCATGTCTGGTGCAGCAGACTCGCAATCCTCCAGTTCTCTGGCATCAATTGAAAGTGCATCCAAACCTTCGCTGAGCGAGTCCACAGACTCCGTGTCATGGGCACAGCCGTTGACATGGAAACCGTTAATTCCACCCTTCTCCGAGTTTGCCGACTGCTCCTCTTCAGTGGACACCAATTTACCGGGATCTGGCAGGCCAGGGCTCGATTCAGCTTGCGGTTTCGGTTTGGTTTTCTTCTTCTTGTTCTAAGGATTAGGTATCCACACCACAAAAGGGAGAAAAAAAAAATGTTAAGTTTAATTCCTGAAGAGAAAATTAAGCTTATGCTTACTGGCTGAAAGTAGCTGAATTAAATGCTTTTTCAGCCAGCCTGGCTGTTGATCCTATTAATAGGAGGAAGGATTTAGTCAACAATGAGGACAGATATAGTGGCATTAATGAGGCACGAATACATTATCCTCCCTGATGGTGTGCCAACAAGAGCAACGGTTATCAGATGAAGGCTGCATAACTGATGGGAAACAGCAGAGAGGTTTGTGGCTGTAACCCACAGCACCAGCTGGGTCGCTTCTGGGGGTGCTCACTGGCAAGGTGCAGCTTCCAGGGTGCTCTGCTAGACCTTGCTCTGATAAAACTTCCCTCATTTCCCAACACAGGGCTATTCAATTTCATTTTTTTCCCTCCATTTCATGCTGGTGCTTTTCACATATTCAGAGGACTCCTTTTGAATAATTATGATTTTATTCTCGTCCTGGTGGATTTAGATATTATAATATCAAGTACTGAAACTTTGCAAATCTTTATTTAACCCTTTCACAGAGGTCTGAGCAAAGAACTAGGCAAAACACTTGAGAAAGCTTACGTGACAAAGAAATATATTTCCACAGAGCTCAGCATTAAACGCAACTGTTCAGCTCCAAAGGTTACCGATGAAAAATGGAACAGCATGACTATCTGAACAGTGAATTACAGAGCTCTGTTGAAATAAATGGACCTGATAAAGATTTACTTCAGTGTGGGGCTGTGTGCGTGGATTAGGGGTCCTGTAGAGGGTCAGCAGAATAAAAGCAACTGCAAAGACAGAAAGTCTAGAACCTTTTTTTCAGACGCTGCATTTGGCACAATGTGTCTGACAACTAAACTAAATGCAAATGTGGCAAGAAGATGATGTTTACAACTTGCACTGAAGTTACCGTGTAAATCATTGCCCTGAAAAGCAGGGCACCTGATCACCTAGTGATTATCTCCGTGCATCAGTTCTGCTAACATCAATAGCCAGGTTTGCTCTTTGGTTTCTTTTCCCATCTAAAGCACAAGTAATGCCTACTGTTCTCTGTAGTCTAAATCCTCAAAATAAAAAGAGAAATGCCTTAGCAAAGTATATTTAAAAAGTGTTACCTTTTTTTTGCCTGTTACAGTCCATTCTTTCAGTACTTCACTGGCATTGCCTGAAACGAAATGCAGCAATGAGCAGTGGACGAGGCATTCACTCCAGTTCTTTCCTGGTCACGTGGAAGTGCCTCCATACCTGGAGCCAGCTGTAACACCTGCTGCAGCTAAGTTTCAATTCTCTTAGCTGATGTAATAAAAGAATCGGTTTCATTTTTGCTTTGGGAACACATTGCTGAACGGGACTACTCCCTTATACCACAGTGCCAGCTCTTTCCAGGAAAAAAAAGAAAAAAAAAAAAATCTTCTCTTTAGCTCTGTCATACTAAAGGTTTAGGTACTTGGAACCCTGCTGGAGCATGTTCTGAACTCAAAGGTTGCATTCAGGTCAGATACCTGCTGGCTGTCTCAGGATGCCCATAGTCTGAGGAATAGCTGTCATACCTTCTGTAGGCCAGAGGCAAAGCGCAGTTGTCAGTGATGGCCAGCATGGAAATAAGAGCTGCAAAGCAACAGGCACTGTCACCAGCAACAGCCTGTTTTTCCAAGGTCAGAAAATCCATCTAATGCAGCATGCCAGCCAGACCCAAGAGAAGATTTGTGAGCCAGGTTTCAAAGTACAAACAGCAACTATCGAAGCTGAAGACATTCCCATTTTGTACAGATGAACAAGAGTTTCTGTAATTGACTATGAAACCTCCTTTATCTAAAGAGCTATCAAATGCTTCTCTCTGCCTTGACCCTTAGCTAAACAAACATCAACTAAAACTTGGGAAGAGAATCATCCGTTAGTCATCTTTGTGGACTGAGTCTGCACTTGGATGTGCTGAGAAGCTACATGAGCTTCTGCTACCTGGTGTACTTACTGCACACAGCCCTTTCTGCACAGAGGCTATTGCTGCTTCTGAAGTAGGTCCATAAACATGGTACGTACGAGTTACGAAGCCACAAACCCCGCCAAGAAACCAGCTGCAGTTACCTTCCATAAATGCTTGCACTGTTTTGTCCACACAGTTGTCAAAATGCTGCAGCACAAGGACAATCTCATTGTTGCTCCTGTTGGGGACTATGGCACGCACCGCGCTGATCTAGAGGGAAGAAAAAGAGAGTAACATGTAAACCATTTGCTGTATCCCACACAGAGCCTACAGCAACCCTTCTGCAAGCAGTCTAAAAACCGTAAACGATGACTTCCTTATAAAACTTTAATGTGCCAGGACGATTTAGCCTGAATAAAATTTTGCTTTTGACAGAGCTGCAGTTAGGTCCCAGACAGAAACATATTTCATCTCAGAGAGGAGAGGAAGATACAGTGTTCAGGAGCTCTTCCATAGCACGTGGTGAGTTAAAGTCTCAGAAGACACATTTACCTTCTCCTTCATGTTTTCAAAGGTTCCTCCTTGGGCCATCACAGTATTGGACTGCACATCAAAAATAAACCCAGACGGATCTGTGAAGACAAAGGAGAGGGAAGCTCTCTTCTGAACAACAGGCACCGAGAGACATTTGGAAAGATATGAAGCAAGAGGTCAGCTCTGAGTTTTTACTTTGCCAAGCAGAAAATTGAAATCCTGCAAACGTACGGCGTTCGCTAGCTAATTCTGTCATATGGTTAGCAGAGAGCTGCTGAGAGTAAAACGGATGATATCCCAGCCTTGTTTAAGGACCAGATTCTGTTTTGGCAGGTAACCCCCGTTGAATCTGGTTTGCCAATGCCCCCCACTGAACTCAAGAAGCCGATTCACTCCTCAGCTCTGGGTCAGTTTAAACCAGCCAACCATGGATCCAAACCACAAGCCAAAAAAACACAAGCCCCAACAGGGCTGGTGCGAAACAGAAGATTGCTGAAGCAGACCAGACCAGTACCGCTCCTCCATTTCCATATTAATCTTTTACTGAGCCCAGCAATAAAGAGTTAACAAAAGTGCTAGAGCCTTCGAGCAGTGTGGTTAGCAATTTCCTCCACCTGGAGATACAAATGGCAAGCAGACTGATAAATGGGTTTGAAGATCCAGCAGCTTGTGTTCCCTGCCAGCTATAATCTCCAAGGTAATGCTTATATGTTCCAAAAGAGACTCATAATTGAGACAGCCATCACCAACAGGTTTGCTCCCTGCCAGCGAGCAAAGGTCACATAAATCTGGAGTCCCTACCATTTCACCAAGAGATCCTTACGAGTGCCTGGTATCACAAATTCACCCTCGATTTCCTGCCAAAGGTCTGAGCAGGCTAAATCTCAGGTTTGCTAAAGAAAAGGAATATAGCTGTTCATAGATGTGTGAGAGAACCTACTTCAAACCAGTATTTTAGCCACATTTGGTCTCAGGAAGAACACGTGTCCCTGGGCAGGGGCCGACGGCAGGACCCCAGAGGTTTTAAGCACTCCTGTTCTGCAACACCAACCCCTTTCCAGGGAGTTCACACGCGTGCACAAAGCCATAGGCAGATTTCCTAGGAGGGCATTTGCTTGTGGGTGCTTTGATGCCTCGAGCCCCACACAGAGTCAGGGAAGTAAAAGACCACCGGTTCTTCTGCAAAGCTTCTCAGGTGGGTTTCTACAGCTGCCGCTGCCCGGTGGCTTTGGGGACCGCCTGGGGGAAGGGACGCTTTCAGGGGGCCAGGGTGCTCGGCGGGGACGCTCACTTCGGTCACTACCCTTTCTGCTTTAGCTCAGCTGATATTCCAAGCTGCTGATTCATGTTCTTTCCCTCACCTCCTCTAAATAACTCGTACGCGATTTGGAGACACACCATTGACTTCCGCAGTTCCCAGACATTGATGTAGCATTTAAACTGAGATGCCTCCAAATACAGTGACAGAATTGTGAACATGATGGAAAGGTCAGCCTCTTATTAAGGCTACAGATGAACGGTTAAATTCTTCCTCACGCTGTCCTTACCCGTTTCAGCCCCATGAGCAAGATTTTCTCAAGTTTTCCAAGCTCACAGAAGTTCAAGTTACCAACTTTCTAGTCCTTAATCTTGTAAATGGCTTTCAGACTCCCCATCACCGAGTGAGAATTAGCAATCTTTTTTCAAAATCTTCATTGCAGAGCAGCCACCAAGGACCCAGGTGCCAGGAAAGATGAAGTTCAGCTCCCCCATGCAGCACATTTTCAGCTACTCAATCCCATCCCTTTCCCACATCTCCATTTGCGCTTGGTCTTACAGGGGACTGAGCTTGTCGGCACCTTGCTCCGAGCTGCTTCTCCAGCTTCCAGTCGCTTCACTACAGCCCAAGTCCTCCTGGTGTTAAAATGTTTATCATGCAAAAATTATGCAACGGAGACTACACCGTATACATTCGATATTGCCCTTGAGCACTCCCCAGCATCATTAAAAGGGCTGCTGGCACTCAGGTCTCTTGTGACAGTGGGTATTTACAAGAAGGGACAGAATTTAAAACGCTTACGCCCGCGTGGACAGAAGCCTGGCGGCCACCAGTGACTTCACGATTTTGGAATTAACATCCTTGTGGGAAAGGCAAGCTCCTTCCCAAAGCCAGGGCTCAGACTATGCATGTCATGTCTGACATGACGAGTCAGTCAGACACTCAGACTGATCTCTGTTGCATTAAAACATACACCACGCAGTGCTACCCTGTTGATTTGATGTGATAAACCCCAGAGACAATGCCGACGGCCTTAATTGATTCTCTGTTCATAACTGCAGCCTCCAGAAAAATGAGGTGGTAAGAAATCATTCATCCCAAATCATTTACTATTGTGTTTCAGTGCTATTTACTGGACTAATAACACAGGATCTCTTAAATAGAAACACTAACGATGCCGGGAAGAATCCACCCTACCAAATATCAATCTGCTCCTCCCGTAACTCCACTAATTAGTCCTTTCTGTACAAAACACGTGCAAGAATTAAAACTACAGACCTAACAAATGCCTGCTCTGCTTCCTGGGACACAAGAAATAAAACAACTCTACACCTGACACCTCGAGGAAGTCAGACCAGGGGCCACTATTTCCCACTCAAGCCCCCAGGTCAAGCCAAGCTGAGTCCTGGCTCATTTTTGAGCCACGGCAGGCAGTCATTTCATAAGGAGACACAGAAAAGAAAGAAAAGCACCAGCCCGACAGCTACACAGACCTCGTCCCAACCAGCATCACAGAGCACACTTTACAAAAGCGTACAGCGAGATTCCGTGTATGCATGTAGCTCCTCCGAACCCATCCAGCACTTCATCCCCACCACACCCACATGCCAGCTCACGGAAAGTGTGCACAGAAAAATAGCTTACCAAACTAAAAGAAAAAAAAAAATCCCTCTCCAATCGCCAGGTTCACCCTCCTGCCCCAGCCAGGACGCTGGCAGGCAGACGGCTTTGGGGAACTGGACAGCATATACACTTAAAGCGCTATGCAATCATGATTCAGTTAAACCGTGAAACATTTATAGACTCTGTGGCTTTTCAGGTCAACGGTAACCGCGCCGGCTCTCCCAGGGATAGCGCGGGAGACCTCGGCTAATGTGAAATAAAAAGCTCTTAAAGAAATGGCACCTCGCCGCTCACTCAGAGCATCTCCAATTTGCTCTAATTACGAGCATCTCCAGCAGTTCCTGCGTTGTGAGAATCGGGAGATGTCTGTGCCCAGGACTGCAGAGGTGACTGGATGGGAATTAATGCACCTTCCCAGGACAGAGTAAAGAAGCCAGAATATCATTATCCTATCAGTCTGTGCTTGCAGTCATACCAAAGTACCCACAAATACAGAAAAAAAAAATTTAAAAATCAGGATTTCCGAAAAAGTGCTACATAAGAGATTACATCCGTGGAAGCTTTCTGCGGTTTCAGGGCTCCCAGGGCGTCAGACATTGCACTTGAAGCAAACAGACCACCACAGGCTGCATTTCGCATATCTCAAGTCTCATGCTTTTCCTTACGAATTACATCAACACATACCGCGATTTTTCCCTTGTAAGAACAGTTCTTGCTAACAGGCAACAGAGGCACTAATGCTAAGCTCTCTCCTCATGAATTAGAGAGAAGTAAGGACTAAACTGGGGTTAGAATCAATATTCCTGGGTTTGCTGCTGTCGAGACAACATTTCATTGATACCAGGAGAAACTACACAGAAACGCTAACTTTCTGTGTAGGGGAAAAACATCACTACCACACACCTAAGCCCTCCCTTCCCCAGAATACATTAAGATATTTGAGTCGGTCTGTTGGGTTACTAAGCTGTACTCGCTCAATTTCTGTCCCTGCTTGCTGCCTGGGCACGTTCAAAGTCGGGGCTTGGTACCTCAATCAGCTGTTGTGGAAACTATTTTAATGCCCCGAGCACAGCCCTGTGACATTCCTGCAGCGCACAGCCAGCCCACGGAGGTGGCAGCTGCACTTCAGAGTCTTGTCTCAACAAGAAGTGCCACTTCTTGCTTATTTTCTCAAACAGATTTCAAGGGGCCAAGCATGCAACACGGCCTTCTCGGTCCAAACCTGATACAGGAAAGTGATCGGTTCACCAGGGTGTAATTACAAAAAAACTTGCTGTGCTTCAGATAGAATATGGCTACACAGGCAAGAGATGGACTCGAAGAATTCATTCTGAGGTGAGCAAATTAAACCTTCCAGACATCCGATCTCAGAAGCATCTGATCAGCTGGACGGCTGCTGGATGGCAGCGGAAGAGTTAGCCCCCGTATTAATGCAGGCTACCTTCCCAATATAAGGCCATATTCATTTAAGGGCTTGGAAGAGTGGAAAGAAAAGAAATTAAATATGGAATAAAAACTAACTTCTTGCGAATCAACTAAAATATGCCCAAAGTTACGCTGCTAAAATTGGGTATTTCTGCCCGACACAAAAAGCGGGTATTTTTGCCACAAAGCAGGGGCTCGTACGGACACAGCTCTCCTAAGCACCCATCCTGCTTCCCAGGGCCAGGGAAGCACTTGGAGCGCAGGTCTCATTGCCCCTGCAGCGTCACCGACCTGGTCTAGCCGAGGCGGGCACGCTGCCATTTCCCGGCCGTTGTCACAGCTGCAGTTTCAACCTGTGCTTTGGACACACGAGCAGTGAAGCAAGGCAATCAGCTTTCAGTGGAGCTAAGGCAGCGAAGCCAAACAGAGAGCCATTAAGGTAATTCAAATTGCAGGACACTGTCTTCCCCCTCCCATCTAATTTCCATCTACACACAAAAAATGAAAAATTAAATTAAACCTGCGCAATTCCAGAGCATCACACTCAGCAGAGTGATGCAGCTGAAGCTCCCACGAATTCCTGACATCACCTGCACGCTCGTACCGCACCCGAGCTCACTCACAGGCCAGGATTCGATTTACCAGCTTACAGAACACATGCTCAATATTCGCCTTTGTGCGTTTTCACCATAATTCACAGCAAGTGCTGCCTTGCAGAGCAACTCCGCAACCTCCCGGTTTGCCGATTCTACCAGAAGTTATCCGGACACAGACTGAGCAAATAGCTTGCAACCACCCCAATCAGCACAGCCTGCTTTCTGCAAAGCAGTATCTTCTGCTCGATTGACGCGTTGTTAAACAAAGTACGAGCTTAAAATGAAATTTCTCCCACATCTGGGGTTTTTGTAGAGGCTCTGGTGCGCAGGCTCCCTGCTGCTTAACACCGCTCCAGTCCCTTCCTAGCAACTGATACCAGAGACCTTTTGCCTTTACCAAATTCACGTAGGACAGTTTTCCATCAATTGAAATGGCTCCTTGATGTATCCAGATGAGTAGGAACCCGAGTGCTGTTTTATTCAGGAACCTGGCATGCCTAAAACCATGGCTGATGGCCAATGGAAACAAGATTTATGTGATTGCTTTGTATCCTGGGGTCACCAGTCATTCCTGAGCCTGGTGGCTGCTTTCACTCAAATCAATTAATCGAGTCAGAAGGGGGATGAGAGGGAGTGCACATGCTTCGTGTTGGGGGAAAACCAGAAGCACTAAGAATCCAAGATCACTTCAGACAGCAGCAAACCAACAAACCTACTAGACGCTGGGGAAGCATTTATTTAGAGATCTGGCATCACTGAGACTACCCTTCCTTCGAATTTTTAACTATCCCTTATACAATATACCAAAGCTGAAATGAGCCATCCGGTATAACCCAGACATGGACCTACATGTGGATGCACGCATTCGGATTTTGAATGGGGATAACTACATGACCGGTTTACAGATTGGACTGTTTTCTCCTCAGCATAGATCTTTTGAGTAAAGAGTTATTTACAGCCAGTAATATTCAGGAGTAGAACATGATTCTGTGCCCAAACTTTGCATATACATTTTCGCAAGACTTAAAAATACCCTTCTGAATAGCTCAGATGTTCACTCTATTCTGTGGCACTTCTAAGAAGAAGAAACAGGTGGGCTTCTGATTTGGTTTCAAAACTGCTGTGTTATTAAAAATAGGTCTGTCTCCTTCTCTATCTCTCAACACTTCTCACCAGCCCTTTGTTACACTGCAAAGGGGTTTTGTTTTGCTTTCAGAAAGAAAGAGAAACTGCAAAGACACTCCTTACCTGGCCAAGGTATACTCCTTTACAGAGGACTGGAAAATATTTGTGGACTACATTAACATTCTAGAGCAGCAGAAAAGTAGTAATTGAAAATTCAATCACAGTCCAAACAGGACAGGGCACAGCCAGAAGAGTCTGCAGCTTTAACTCTCACCTTCCCTTATGTCCACATTGCCACTGCAGCGCGGACTGGAGATGAGCCTGCTTAACAAAGCGGGGCGTATTTTATATCCCCGGTGGCGGAGCGAATTAAAGCCTTTTGTCAAATATTTATGTCCAAGATCCCTTTACTTTTCTTTAGGAACCCAATACATGCCAGCGCTTCCCAGCGGGTTCTCTCTATGACACACTCTGCCGAACAACACCGAGAGCAGCAATTGTGCCGGCTTTCTCGTTCGGCTGGGGACTTGCCAACCCTCTGAATTCCCTCAGAGCAACAGCTTCCCATGTTTTCCCCCAGTTGTCTCCTACAGATTTCTCTTCCCCTACCTAGCCACATTAATTCTCTTCTGCTGTTTCAAGGTGTGTTTTTCTCTCCACATGTATTCAGCAACAACGATTGCTGGGCTCCGTTTCCAGCATCAGAGAGAAGCCAATTTCTTAATGACTTGTACTGAGGCTTCCAAGAGCACAGATACAAATACAGCTTTTTAAAAATCACTCCAAAATTATCCTATACAATAATTTCCATAACTGTTACTAATTGCTTTGAATCATGTATGGATCTAGCTGTCAAAGGACGGCTGGGCTCCTCAGGTAGACACCGTTTCTATGCCAAAGCTGCTGGGGGGGGGGGGAAATCTACAGAGAACAAAAGCTCTTCTCTTGAGGTAGAGGACATGAATTGTCAAACCCATTCGCCTTAAATTATTAATTAGTAGTCAGTTCAAATAAAAAGCAAACCGTAACCCTCAACCCCCCTTCTCCCCCCACCACACACACACTTTGGAATTAATGTTTCACACGCGACAAATAAGATCCCTCACTGAAATAAGCTGCTTGACGCCAGAACAGCTTTGCCACTTAACATGCGATGGCAGAAAAAGGAAAACCAGCCTGTGTATTTGAAGACAAAGCAAGGGAAAAAGCTTCTCGTAAACTTGCTCGTTGCCCTTCTGTACCTATCTCGAAGGAAAAAGATTTAAATAGGTCTAGTTTGAATTGCATCCCCAAGAGACGAAGACCTGAGCTGAGCTATCCCACCTCGACTCGACGGCTTGTTTCTGAACTGGATTCCTGGCAAGCAGTTGCCACAGACAGCACATGCAAGTGCAAGACAGAAGCCTGCCCCAGAACGCCAGCATCCATGGGGCGTTTGGAGAGGAGGGACAAGGGCTGCCTCGGGAGCAAGACTAAGTTTTGGTAGAGTAAATTCCATCAGAGACTCAGAGACCACTCAAATTCTTCCTGGCCATACCCAACGAGGGGAAGTCGTGAACCAACTGGGGACCCCAGTAAAATAAAAAAGTTTGGCTCCGTAACTCTTCAACGACTAAACAATATTTTTTTTCTCCTGTTGTCTGGCTGTGAAAGTGATGCAATATTAACATACAGGAACTCGTGAAATCAGAACTGTCCAGCTGGACACTTGAAATGCTACTAAAAATGTCACAAAACCCAACAGGTTATACGGTGTCACTAAGCTGGTGACAATAAGCTGTCAAGTGACATCAGCAGCCTTGAAAAGAGTATCGCAAAAGCAATTAACCCCTTTCCTAATTGATAACTTTGGAATCAATAGTGCTGTTTATTGGCATTTGATTCTATCACATTCACATGCATCTTACCTTTAGTATTTTGCTTTTTAGACATCTCAGCGCGTTTGCTCTAACGTCCAGCTATACAGGAGGGGGAAAAAACAAGAGTCCTCGCCCTTGCACAACGTAGCTGGCAGTTGCAATTCACACTCCGCCTTGTATCAATGCGGGGAACGGCAGATATCTGGTTTGGGATGGCAAAATCCCAGCTGCGAGGGCAAATGGGGTCTGGAGTTGTCAGAGATCTGCTGACAGGCCAGCAGAGCACTACAGCCCCTTTCTCCGAAAAGGAACTTCTTGTCACGAAGCCTGATTGCAGCAGTTGGTATCGGTCTTTTCAGGTTCTGAAAAAGAAAGAATTAAAAAAAAAAAAAAAAAGAAAGGAAATAAGAAAATTGCTACTGTACTAGCCAAGGCATACCTCAAGTCTCCCAGTTTGTCAGAGCCATCTTGCTCACGCTTTTTAAGAGTAAAATTTGTATTTTGTTTAAAGGCATGGTGAAACAACTAGCCAGAAAAAAAGCAACATTAAATATAAAGCAACAAGATCCCTACAGACTTGGTAGAGTTTCAACAGGCTACTGTAAGACACTGTCACTTAAGCATGCAAGGCAGTAGAACCAGGCAGGTTTAGAACCCATCATAAAAAAAAAAAACAAACAACATTTACACAAATGCCAGCATTTACGGACGTAAGAGCCATCAGACAAAGCGGACCGGGAGCGTGGTTCCTACGCTGGGTGACAACACTCATGACAGCGTGAACTCTTAGATCTCTCCTGTGCTAACGCCACCAGCATCCCAGGGAAGGCAAAATTCACTTTGCTGCCAGCACCCAAAAGCACACAAATTTTAAACGCTTTCTCTGCTTATTTCAACAGAGCACAGACCAAGCCTCCCCCACCGAGGCGGTGCAGGGGCAGCTCCGCGTGGCGTTACATGTGTCTGTTTTCCTTGTGCTCCCCGCTCCTGATTTAAGGAGCCAGGGAAAGCAGGGGCGGCAGGCACCACATCAAGTATGATGACAGGTTAAACAAAGAACAACAGGATACACAAGGTAAGGAAACAATAGAGACCTCTCTGCCACGGCAAACCCGCCTAACCCCAAGGAAGGATCTAACCTCAAAGCCGTATTCACAATGGAGCGGGAAAGACGCAGAAATTGCCATTTCAATATGTAAAACGCGGGTAACTGAAGACGCAAAATATTTTAGTAAACCTCAGGAGACCGTGTGCATTTTAGCAAAACCCACACGGTCAGGAAAATGAAATGACAGCACTGAGAAACACGCATCTAATTTGCTCCAGCAATAATTAGAAGTTCAACTCCCATCCACCCTGATCAGGATTATTTTTTAGGGATACGGTTTACAAGTCTGAGGAATGCAGCAACGCTCCTGCAACACAAGAACCGGCGACACTGTCCCAGGGTTCATCAACAGGGTCCTATTTTGATTTCAAAACAGACGTTTCCTATCATTGGAATTCTCCTTTATTAGCTACACAGGAGTTCAAAACTTATTTCTAGCCCGTGACCCTAGCAATCTAAATCTGAGACAGCGTCAACGCTCTCTGACTGCGCAAAAAAGACTATGCAAAAGAATTTTTTACCTGCAAACAGAGTCCCAGAACAAGAGGTGGTTACAAACTCCTGCCTCACTGCCTTCAGCTCTCCGAATTAAATGCCTTCATTCGTTTTGATGCCTCGAGGCACTAAATACCACCTCATAAAAATTGTGGTATTTGAAACTCTGCTCAAAAATACAGAAGCCGAAGAATTTAGCGAAGGATTAAGCTGCCGTATCGGGATGTGAGCGGCCCCCGAGCTCGATGCCTGGAGACTGCCGGCGGGTCGAGCTCTGAGCTCTGCCGGCTGTGCTAGCGTGGCCGATGTGCTTTCGTTTGCACGATTACACCCAAGTTTCACTTCCCTGCCTGACTGCTTTGTGTCCACGACCAGGAAACACAGGGCAGGCAGCGCAGCCATCCAGCTGCCGGGAACCTCCGGTACCTCCCGTGATTTTAAGATAACGTTGGGTTGCGGAGAAGGAAAGTGCTCACGCACTGACCTATGATACCTGAGGCAAATCCCTTCGGTATATATTGCTCAGAGTTTTAAAAACAAACAAACAAACAAACAACAAACCCACAACTGTGCTTTAGAGTTGTCTTCATAATTTCATTTTTTAAATAAAGACGAGCATGCTTTAATCCAGAAGGAGCGTGGAAATACACAGGTACCGACAAAAGCCCGTAACATCACGCCTGAGAGTATTTTACATGAACTCCCTCAAGTTGTCTCAAACTTAATTCACGAAACAAAGGAACACGTAACGACTGCCTCTGCGTGTACATCCCCGAAGAGCAAATAACTGCAAGAACACTTCAAAGTCTAGAAACAAGCTGTAAAAAATGAAAGTTGCCAGTGAAGAAGTTATCAGGAAATCTCAAAAAGCCTGAAAAACTCTACACCTTATCACCCAAGAAACACACTTTTACCCACTTCAAAGGAGAAAATAAATAGTAATTAAGTCTTGGGAGGGAAACAAACAACATAGACCAGGTTCTGAATTACTCTTCGGCAAGCTAAACTGTAAGCACAAAAGTAATAAAATAACAGACTGGAAACAAAACCCACTGATATATCTGATGAGTATAAAATGGCAAAACTTTACTCCTTGATGATGCAATTAATATTTCATCCGATATACCCCATGGTAAGAATCTAGAGCCAGACAGTCAAAAGCAGCTCCGGCTCACGTCAGAATCGGGGTTCAGGCTGCTGCGTGACCTGCCTTTAACTCGGTGTCTCTCATGGCAGATCGGCTGGAAATTTCAACACAGCTATTAGCTGGGAACCTTAAACAGATCGGCGCGAGAGGGCTGTAAAACACACAAGCGTTTTTAAAACGCAGGTGGAAATTTCAAGACTGGTAAAATAGCAAAGGTTGATGCAAGTTCAAATAAACTCGTTATAGGTGGCGAGCTCCTTCAGATAAGGGCAATATAAGGCTTATGTAGCGCACTGTACTACAGAAACAATAAAGCATCAATACAAAAACGTCAAGAAATCTACCTGCAGGATTAAAATAAAATATTGTAGTTATAACAGAGTTGACGGGGGAGCAATATAACCTGCAGAGGCCCAACTCCCTCCTGTTACGGACAGAGCAACCAAACTCCTCCCAGAGCTGCCAGCGTTCGGCTGACGACATAAAACTCTTCCAAATCACACTGGAAATGCACATTATCGTGAAATGCACAAATATCAGCATATTCCATCTAATTTAGAAAGAAGGAAAACATTCGAAATTTTACAGAGAGCAAGTCAAAAAAGAAACAACTTCTGAATCCCCCACCCGTGGCGTTAGCTTGCCGTGCTATTCTTGCTCCGTCTAGATGGATTATTTCAGTAAACTTTCAGAACTCGATAGCTCCCTATTTGAAGGAAAAAGAAGATAAACAGTGAGAAATTTGTCTGGATTTTTTTATTAGTCCATGGAAGATGCTTTTGCTGAGAAATCTGGAGTTCTGAAGAATAAATAAACCTGCTTCTTGGGAGGGTTTTTACCACGGTTGTTTTGGGATCTCGGGCAGGCGGCACGGTGGGCTGTCCCCAGCTGCCGCCTCACGCCCGGCTGGAGCATAATTCACGCGGTACAGTAGCATCTGGCTAATTGGCTTTTGAGTTAAGTAGTCCCTTACCAAGCTATTTTAATCTTGTTGATCAAGCACGTAAGTCTCGTCTCTGAGTACACACAACAGCATTGCAGTAGAATAAATTGTCCTGTTTGCAATTTATAATCATTCTCAAACAAAAATCCATTTTCCGAGACTCCAGCACCTCAGAGGACCCGGGTGTTTACCTACAGCACTGGACCCCCCCGCCCCATAACGTCCTCACGCAAGAAGGGAATTAACTCAATTTTATAGCGTGTCCTGAAAAAAAAAGCGGTAATTACACTAGAAATTCAGGAACTTATTCTGTCATGGAACAAAACTTGGAGGAGCAGGTTTAATATGCCCACTGTGCAGGGGAACACCCCGACATTCCTATCGCCTTCGCCGGGCGCTGCCGGCCCCGACTCACGGCACAAGCACAGCCTGGTTTTTCCCAGACCTCCACCAAATCCCTGGGGAATTTACACAGCGCTGAAACCCCGAGACTTGGGGGTTTTTCGGCAAATACCTGTTAAGTTACAGCAGACCAAAATAAGCCTGTTCACCTCTCACGTTCAACAGATGCCTCAGTGGTTTCTGTTCGAAGAACTAACTTTTTTGCCCTGCAACAGACCACGAAACACATCAGGCCAGTGTTTTAATCAAAGCCAGGCAGCTTTATTACCCCACGAGAGGAAGGAAGCGCACTGTTCAGCAGCGAGCGCAGCACAAGCCCGACTGTAACTTGGGCTTTTTCTTTTTTTTTTTTTTTTTTTTTTTTTCCCCTTTTTTTTTTCCCCCCCCCCCCCAAGTCGAGACAATCGGTTTTCAGAAGCTCCTTCCACCGAACAATGGCTCGGTCAGAGCACGCGGGGAAGGAGGAGCGCAGCCCCCTCGCCTCTCCCAGCACAGGTCTGGGAAGGTCTAATGCCAGCGCCCACAGCCAAATCCCTGCCTGCACAAAGCAGCTCCTTTTTCCATCCTGGACAAGTCCCTTCATGGTACTGGATGAAGGATCGTAACATTGTACAAGACAAAGAACCATTTTAGGATTTAAAAAAATAGTTTCTTAATGTCACTCTTGGGGTTTGGGGTTTTTGGTTTTTTTTTTCAGTATTTCCTCAAGAATGAACCGAACATTTAACCTCAGAGATAATTAGCTGTCTATATTCTGTTTAAATCCACACATTTATTGTTCTTTCACCAAATGCATTATGCAGAGCACGGCTGGGCATTAGCTATTCTCAAACACCTACCTCTTATAAGCTAATTGTGTATCATTTTGCAGCACAAAGAAGTAAAACTACGTATTTCAGATGACAAAACATTCCCGTATCTATTCCAATGATGCTACAAAAGCCCACCCGGAGTGTTTACAAATACTTAAACAAGATA